CCACAGCATGGCTTGATGAGCAGTGCGTATGTCCATGCCCAGGATCCGAACCTGTGAACTCCGGGCTGCTGAAGCAGAGCATGAGAACTTAACCACTATGCCACCAGGCCAGCCCCTACTTTTTGCTTTTTTAACTGAGATATAATTTTCATAAGTCAAGTGCATAGGTTTTAAAGAACTTGATGAATTTTTACTTATATATATATCTGTGTAATCCCCACCAAAATCAAGATTTAGAATTAAGGCTGAGGGGGCCGGCCCTGTGGCAGAGTGGTTAAAGTTCCACACGCTCTGCTTTGGAGGCCCAGGTTCACCAGTTCAGATCCCTGGCACAGACCTACACCACTCATCAAGCCATGCTGTGGCAGAGACCCACATACAAAATAGAGGAAGATTGGGACGGATGTTAGCTCAGGGCTAATCTTCCACAAGCGAGGGGAAAAAAAAAGAATTAAGGCTGGGATTAGGGTGAGTGAGGCCAGTGAGGTGAGCTGTGCAAGCACAGGGTCAGATTCTATCTTTATTTAAATTTTTGATATTTTGTTCGTATATATATATTTTGTGTGTGTGTGAGGAAGATTCACCTTGAGCTAACATCTCTCGGCAATCTTCCACTTCTTTTATTTTTGCTTGAGGAAGATAAACCCTGAGCTAACGTATGTGCTGATCTTCCTCTATTTTGTATGCAGGATGCCTCCATAGCATGGCTGACAAATAGAGTAAGTCCATACTTGGGATCCAAAACTGTGAACCTGGGCCACCAAAGCAGAGTGGGTGGAACTTTCACCACTTGGCCAGGGGGCCGGCCACCTGTTCATATATTTTTGCATTCATTTTGATTTTTAAAAATATTGTTTATTTTGATTACTGAGTTCTTTTGGCCCGCCCTTAAATTTTGCACCTTGGAGAGAGAGCCTCTAGTCTTGACCCTGTTAAATATTTCCAGCACCCTGGTGGCTCCCTCATTCCCTCAATCCCCCTAAGGAAGCCTCTAGCCAAAGCCAAGGGTTCCTCACATGAATGGGTGGCCAGGGTGTGTGCGATCATATCGGGTGTGTAGGCGTATGTTTTTTTGATCAGGTTCTGGGAGGCGTGTGTGAAGTGAGGAATAAGAAACACAGATATTGACTAACCGGGAGCCAGGGGAGGGTTTGTTATTCAGGGATTGGAACAGTATGTCTTGGGGGGCCTGCAGACTTCAGTGAGACAGCCTGGTGTGGATTAGCCTCCCTGCGCCTCGGTCTCCTTATCTGTAAAATGGAGTTGATAATCCTGGTACCGCTCTTACTGGACTGAGTAAGGCTCAGGTGAGATGATGCAGGGAGCACTCGGCCAACGTTTACTGAGCGCTTACGACGTGCTAGGCGCCGGCTAAGGTTTTTACAGCTGTTACCCTTTTAATAATGCACACAGCCCAACGAGAAGGGGGCACGTCGCAGCGAGCCCACGTGGGGACCAGTAAAGGGCCACGGTCGGGGGTGTGGGGGCCAGGCTCCGGCGAGAGGGCGGTGGGCCGGGCGGGAAGGGGGCGGCGCGCAGGTGGGGCGGGCCG